TGAAAGAGGGACGAAAACCAGAAACGGCCAATAGTTTAGGGACTAAAAACATATTTAACCCATTTNTGTAAAATTGTAATATTTAGCATCATTCCCAAAGTATAAGTGTGTGCCATGTAACACACGTTAACAAACAACTTAAAACTATAATATGTTAGAAGTCTATCATATACTAAATTATGTGCAGGATGTACTTAAAATCCTAAGCATTTCACAATTAATTACTATTAATACAAAAAATAATATTAAATGACATAAATTTGTGATACCTAACAAATATATATTTAACTTGAAACAAGCTTTATTAGATGTATAAGATAAATAACAAAGATTTATAGATTTATCTTTACTTTCACCTTTTAATTATGTCTAAAAGATGGTAGTACTTCATTATTATTTTGAGTTCCATTATAGTTTTATCTTTATGAAAGTGTCTTGATGGAAGGAAGGACAAGTATTTAAGCTGTACTTAATATCGATTCTTAAACGATTTAAAATTATTGAATATAATATAAATATAAATCGTCAATGGATGTTTAAGAAAAACAAGGGAGGGTCATCTCCCATGAAAGGCTTAAAATACCGATGATTCATTTTAGAATTTCGTTATTAACCTCACGAACATTGTCAATTATCATACATTCAATGTATTGTTTGTTTTGGAAACTGAAATTTCATCGTATGTTTTATCCTTAAAAGATATTTTGAAAATATAAGAGAAGTATTTAAACTGTATCAAACTTTGACTCCTAAAAGATGTGAGAATATTATGTGTAATATTATCTATTAAGTTTTAATTAACTAGAGCTTTTAGTTGAATATATAAAGTTGTAAGAAGTGATTAGTATAATCTAATTATTTGTTTTAGGATTTTCAAAAAGTTTAATATTTAGTTTCTAATTTTAAATACTTTCTAAATCTAAACAATATTATAGTATATTATTATTTCTTTAAATGATTATTCTTGAGCAGTCAAAGGTTGATGAGGAGTGACATTAAAATCCATAATGTTAGATGAGTGAGTTGCAAGCACATCACAGCCAAAAGTAATCATAGTTGTTAACATCTCACATCTTTAATAGTCTTGTTTTCACAAACTTTCTTTTCATCTTTTCCTAAGAGTTGAATCTGACTCAATTTTTATTTTAAAAATATAACATGTTATTGAAGCAGACAACCAAACATAACTAGTGCTTAAAAATATAATACATGACAACACCTCTTTTATATGACAACAAATTTTTATTTTACATTATGTTAGTAGCTAAATTTCAATCCAAAAATTAACATTTATATAATTTATATGTGTGATCATAAATAATCTTTTAAAGAGAAAAGAAATTCTTATAGGATGTGTTTAATAGTATTAATTAAGTTAGTTAAATTATTTATAGTCTTTCACTTATATTTAAATCTTATGAAAACAATTATTTGAAACGTTTGAGGATTCACGAGTTATTACAATTCCACCTTATTACGATCATTTACATTACATTTCGGTAAATTTATCTCTCTCTCTCTCTCTCAATGTATTTGTTCAAATAATTTATTTTATTGCTTAATTTCATTTTCTTTTCCATCATTAGTTTCTTTTATTTTTCGTACTTTTTTATTATTTGCTTGTAAATGTATATCGTTCTATAAAATATTTTTATTTTTAACAATATCGGTAAAGTTCAAATTTATACAAAATCAACGTTTAAATATATGATGAATAATTTACCATAAAGATGAGTTTTTGTTTTTTCTTTTAAAAAAAACTACTTCCCAAAATACTTATAAGATTATATTTGTATTGATGATTTAATTAAGTTTTAAATCTCTTAGAAATTTAAGTATTATTAATTGAGTCCTATTAATTTGTTTCTATTAAATACTCAAAACTTTATATTTTTTAATTACATTTCTGTCATTTAATTTTTTTATTATCTAAATAATTGTTATATTATCCTATCATTTTACTTATTTGTTTTTAGGTATTAAAGAAGTATGATGTGGTGTGATTAATATAAAATTATATTTGTTTTTTTATTTAAATACATTTTAATTTTTTTGTAATTAAATTTTGTTCTAATTAAAATATTAAAATTTCCAAAGAAAAAAAAATTAATTAAAGCTTGTTTTTTAACTTAAAATTTAAGGAAAAGAATATTGTATTTTGGATGTAGTGGATGGAGCATAAAATAAAGCGTGTATGTTTGTTATTGAGTGGAATTCATTCCTTAAAGCAGAATTATGCCGTACAAGAAATGTGTTTGCAGTATCCAACACCAATGGATTGTACTTTTCTTTGCTTTCAAAAACTGGGTTGTACTTGGCAATGGATTCCAAATGAAACAATGTAGTACAAAGTACCAATCCTTAGAACAGTACCAAGAAACACAGAGAGAAAGTAGATGACCTAAACATGTCCAATAACTAACCACTGCTTCCAACCAAATCAATTACCTTTCTTTCCACCAAATTATGTTTGAAATTCACAAATTATGTTGTGTGTGTGAGAGAGAGTAATTCTAGTTAAATTAAACATGAGAATAATATTGGACTTATAATTAAACTGTATATAAATTCATTTGAAAATATATTAATATATATGTTTTTAGATTTTTAATTTGTGTATAAGTTAATTGTAGTTTACCAAATAAACCAATTTAATATTTCTTTTTGCTTTTCCTTTTCTAAAAATATAAATAAACATATAAACATAGATTTTTTTACAAAACATTTCGATTCAACGTTTGTATCATTTTCATACTAGTTTATTATTTATTTATTATTATGTTAACATACTCTAAACATAACGAGAAAATAACACGTTTACTATTTCAAAATGTTTTGAAAAAATTTGTGTTCAAAAATTTGTAACTTGGGCAAGAAGAGACTAAGACAACTCTCTTCTTTACAAGAGATATTGCTAAACTATTAGATGGTCACTCCAGCAAGAACAATGATGATGATATTGGGTCTATTAAGGAAGAGATTCATTGGAGAAACACAATATTAATGAGACCTGAGTCTAATTATATAAAAAGTTGACACTACTCTTTATTCAAAACTTTAAAGCAATGAGTTAATGGATCTTCAATCTTATATGGTTTTCTACTTTCACATATTTACCTGGTGGAACATAGACTCACGATTAAAATTTCAATAAGTGATGCTTGGATTCTAAAGTAGTGCAACTATGTTATGACACTCAAGTGGTGGCATGATAGCCAATTATTAATAAAATGTGTTTTATGTGCTGAAATTGTTGGAAGAGATCCAACAAGCATATCTCTTATGCACTCTGAGAATACTAAATCATGAAATGAGTATTTGAGAAGAAAGAGATATAATAAAATATATTATCTAGAGTTATCATACTCAAGTCGTAATATTACTCAAATGAAGAAGTTTTTATCAATTGTGAATGGGTTAAATATGTTTTTAGTCCCTAAACTATTGGCTGTTTATGGTTTTCGTCCCTCTTTCAAAGTAAGGTACAATTTGGTCCTCATTCTTTTCCAAACGTTCGTTTTAGTCCTCGGAATTTTGGTTTTAGTCCTCATTTGTTGCTAAATGAGGACCAAATTTTTAAACAGTGTTTAGTTTTCGAGGATTAAAACGAACGTTTCTAAAAGAATGAGGACTAAATTGTACCTTACTTTGAAAGAGGGACGAAAACCAGAAACGGCCAATAGTTTAGGGACTAAAAACATATTTAACCCATTGTGAAAAATAAGGTCAACAAAATGTTTAGTTGTGTGAATGATTATGTATGTTAGAAATTATTAATTAAAGAATTTGGAATATATATGATGGATTTATGATACAGATATTAATGAAAATGATAAGATGAATAATTAATTTATATAATATATATATATATAATTAAAATAATGAATGTTTATGATAAATAGATACAGTACATAATGGAATGCTTCTTTAATATTAATTTTAATTTTTTTAAAATATTGTTTAAGATAATTTTATATAAAATTATTTGTAAATTAGATCAAAACTGATAAATATATAAATTTAATATTTGTGTAGTCACGATTATTCATTTTATTTTAACTTTTTTATTTATTATTTAATGTTTGTTATCCAGTTTCAAATTGTGATACTTTAGTATGAATAATTTTCATCATAATTTGATTTAATTTAACATATCGTTTACCAATACATTTTATTTTTCATCTGCATTTACAGTAAAATACATACATAATAAGTTCAACTAAAAACATTAACCTTAATTTTTTTAATTAGGGAATAAAAGCTCCCTTTTAACCCATCCTACGATGGTGTAAGATTTCAACAATTATTTTCCTTTATTTTTATTTCTTTTTTAAAAATAGCATTGTTCACGTAGAAATAAAAGACAAACTCTTTTGTATACGTAACAATTTCACCAAATTCTATTAATATATTCCGTTAGCTTAATTTTTAGAAAGACTAAAATTAATCGTTTTAATAATTTAGAAAGACTAACTTTTAAAAAAATATATATTAAACTAAACATAAAACAAGTAAAATGTATTCTAAAATTAAATATAAATTTAGGTTGGTTCAGTTTCCTAATGCTCAAATCAAATATCTCAATTGATGTTGAATCGTTTAGAGACCCTAATTTCATCTTTTACCTTCTAGTTGTAAGACTCAAATCCAATATCTCAATTGATGTCATTGGAATTGTAATTTTAAACTTTCCACTGATTCATATGAGATCATCATGTTTATCCAATCCAGTGAACAACCAAGATGTTAGTTTCCACTTTTGAAAGGGTGATATAATACCACAAAAGGAGGGAACTGAGGGAAAAATACGCCCATTACTGAATCTGCTAGAAGGTTGAATTGAACACAACCTGAGAGATATTATTTCCACACACTTCAAGATTACCTAGTTAAACTCAGATTCTCGTTGTGTAGATACTACTGTGCTCGAAAACATACAATCAAGCTATTCAGGTCAATTGACCAAAACAACATCAAAATGGTGCAAACAAGTTTCAATGCGTCCTAAACTGCCAAAACCACAAACAACCTTCATGTTAAACTTTAGAACGCAGCATGTTATGGTTCTGTGATGAACACAGCATCTGACAAACTATATCACAGAACCCCCACGAGTTTGGTTTACATATTTTCTACACACGACCCTATCTGTAGAATACAAATAAAACAAAAAAGAGAAGAAAGAATGAAACAAGGGAGCTAGAAGTAATAGAAAGCCTTAGAGGCCCCGTTTCAGAATTTATAGAACATTACAACATAAAAATGAATTTCATCTTTGTTCTTGAAGCTAGGCATCTTCTACTCTTTACAAATGATTGCATATGGAAACACCTGGAGATATTACTTTCTGGACCTTTTTGGGTTACCTTTATTACGCCCTTCTGTACGATGTTTTCTCTTGGAAGAACCGCTGTGAGACACAGCATTAGGGGCAGACTGAGATGGCACATGATGCCCATGACCCACAGCAGGGAACCCAACAGCAGAGGTTCTGCAATATTAACATGAACAAAACCTTTAAAATGACATCCATTAACATAATCTGCATCAGTCATTTCATAATTCATTGATGATGTCCAGATGAGACTGGTCGATTTCTTTTATTAAATCAAAGAATCACTTCCAGTCTAGCAGCATGAATAAAAGTGAATCTTCTTGTTTGGTGAGTGGTAAGAATTTCCATGTTATAAATTTATTCTGATTTTGGCATAAGCAGAACATTTACGTTTTAGAAAAAGGAGGGATACTTTTGCTTGAAAAAGACCAAAGACCGTTCAGTGATTTTTCAGTCTCTCATCTCATTTTTAGTAATATCTCTACATATACAATTTTTAATCTGTTTTAGTTCTCGCCATAGGGATTAAAAGAAATTAGAATGATGTTTAGGGGCTAAAGAAAGGAATTAAAACTTCCATATCGCGAGACTAAAGGAATTAACTATAAAGACCTCATGAATAATTAAATATTTTAACATTTATATGACAGGATTAAACTAACCCTAATGACTTTTCAATTCAAACACAAACGGACTAAACATGGCACTACCTTACTTGGTACCAATAAAACACCTAAAGAAAATACGAAGGATCCGCCTCTCAAAATATTAAGACAACATAAAAGTTACAAGACTGACGAAAAAAATATAGTTTGCGGCTTAAAAAGGGCAGGCCTATTTATCCTTGGATGATTTATATTCACAAATCAGCAACTTTGATGTAATGTTAGCATGGACTGTATATATGTTCACAAAAACTCTGGTCATCCAAGACAACGTTATATAACTTACCAATGCTTCGACGAAGCTAANTTTGATGTAATGTTAGCATGGACTGTATATATGTTCACAAAAACTCTGGTCATCCAAGACAACGTTATATAACTTACCAATGCTTCGACGAAGCTAAAACACGAGCAGTTAGCATAAAATTCATTTATGAAAATCACGAGAGGAAGGCCATATCATGAAAGCAAAATAATCATGCAAAATTGCTAGTCACCCAGATGAATGCCCAAAACAAAACAGCAATAGCAATAGAAGAATGGTAATTTGACTTGACATAGCAAGCCTTACCCAACAAGAGCACAGCAGACTCCTGCGAGGTCACGGAAACACCATATGCACCACGCGATTGCAAGCAAAGCCGCAAAGCATTGTTCTCAGCATAGCAGCACTGAAGCAAATGCCCCAGTCTTCTGCATTCCCCTTCTAAATACCTACTCTTCATCTCCAGGTCTTTCAAATAAGCCTTATTCCTCTCCCTCGATCTCACAGCAGCATCCCTATTCCTCAACTGCCTGAAAAACACACGTCGAACACAACTTTCAAGAACATAACAAACATCATAAAACACCCCATCAATTTTTGTTTCCAGCGAAATCTAGTTGATTATGAACCAACAATCACGATACAACCATCAACGTCCAATTTCTCAAAACACAATTCCTTTCGCGCACATAAAATTCATAAATCCTTCGAATTTGACATTCATTATATTCCATCGATACAAAATTAGATAGCAAAGTGCAACATCCACCATAATCCAATCATGTAACCAACTACATCAAGCATAAGCTAATTTCAACTTACTAAAAAGTTAATTTCATGTTTTCCTTATGTATAAACTCATCCAATCCAAACACACCCTTTCATTATATTACAAACTGCCATACATGACTTTTTCAAATGACTAAAAAATTTACAATGTCCGCCAAAAAAAAAAAGTCTCTTTTACCTTTTTAACTTTTTGGAAGTGGGTTCATCGGAAACCGCATCACCGGTTCTGTCTTTTTCGGAGCCTTCCTCAGACTCTGCCTTGGAACGCTCACTTTCCGGTCCCTCATCGGGCTCCACTAGAATCTCCTCGAGAAGCCTGTAGAAGTCGGACTCAGACGACTCGGACAACGGCGTTTCGGTGGAGACGACGTCGTTTTCGGGGTGGCCCATTAGAATGTTCTCGATTTGGGACAAAACGGGGTCGTTAGGGGAGGGATTGTCGCCGGCGACGCTAACAGGAGCGGTGTCATCCTGCAAAAAATCATGGGCGTCGAATTCAGGCACCTGGTCGAAGAACGAATCCCAATCAAATTGGGTGAGTAGGGTTTCTTCGGAAGTATCCATGGAAATTAAGAATTGAATTCCCAATGAGAGAAAAAAAAAATATTTATGGGGAACTTTTGTGTGTGCATTTGTAACTTGGCGACTAAGGAAGACAAGAACAGGAAGCGCGTGGATTTATTGTGCCGTCACTCGACCAATAGAATCGCATATCGTGGCATGCCTTTTCCACGTGGCTCATGTGAACCATCAAGAGATGTTCTGTTTTTTATTTTTTACAGTTGCTTTTTTGGCTTTGTCATTTGAGGAAAGTGGGGGGGAAACTTCATATTGGATTTTAAAATGAAAAAGTTTAGGATATGAAAAAGTCGGTAAAATTTAAAATGGGTTTTTAACAAAACGTGTAAAAAGAATTTAAAGTATCAAATATAAAATCCTAATTTATTTTAGGCTTAATTACCTACTTAGTTCCCAGAGATAATTTTCTGTTTAGTACCCAGTTTTAAAAATGTAGGCATTTGGTACCTATGTTTTGAAATTTGTATCAATTCAATCCTATCCAGTTAACGGCGTTATAATTGAATGCATCTTCATTAACGTCCTTAATTTCTCGCATCAATTATAACGCCGTTAACTGGATAGGATTGAATTGATACAAATTTCAAAACATAGGTACCAAATGCCTACATTTTTAAAACCGGGTACTAAACAGAAAATTACCTCCTAACATGGGGACTAAGTAGGTAATTAAGCCTTTATTTTATTATAACATTTATAAATTTGTAACACTCAAATTTTGAATTTATTTGGAGCATGTTTATATTTTGGCAGTAAAATATATTAAAGTGATATAATTAGTATAAATGTTGGCCTAATGAAATATATGTTATGAAAGACTAATTGTGTAGATATTATCAATAATATTTTTAATTTAACGAAGAATCAAATTAAACATATTAAAAATTTAAATGTAACAAAGGAAAAAATTTAAGGTATTCATACGAAGAAGATCACTTATTCATTACTAATATTTTCATCTTTATCATTATTAATGACGAATTCAGATACTTCTTCATTCTATTTTCATTTTGAATTAAAAAATAGTTGATACAAATTAATATTTTATCACTCATTGCTAATCTTTTCACTCTTATTATGGTCAATGACTAATTCAAATACTTCCACATTCTATTTTCATCTTGAAATAAAAAAAANAATTATTTTCCTTTATTTTTATTTCTTTTTTAAAAATAGCATTGTTCACGTAGAAATAAAAGACAAACTCTTTTGTATACGTAACAATTTCACCAAATTCTATTAATATATTCCGTTAGCTTAATTTTTAGAAAGACTAAAATTAATCGTTTTAATAATTTAGAAAGACTAACTTTTAAAAAAATATATATTAAACTAAACATAAAACAAGTAAAATGTATTCTAAAATTAAATATAAATTTAGGTTGGTTCAGTTTCCTAATGCTCAAATCAAATATCTCAATTGATGTTGAATCGTTTAGAGACCCTAATTTCATCTTTTACCTTCTAGTTGTAAGACTCAAATCCAATATCTCAATTGATGTCATTGGAATTGTAATTTTAAACTTTCCACTGATTCATATGAGATCATCATGTTTATCCAATCCAGTGAACAACCAAGATGTTAGTTTCCACTTTTGAAAGGGTGATATAATACCACAAAAGGAGGGAACTGAGGGAAAAATACGCCCATTACTGAATCTGCTAGAAGGTTGAATTGAACACAACCTGAGAGATATTATTTCCACACACTTCAAGATTACCTAGTTAAACTCAGATTCTCGTTGTGTAGATACTACTGTGCTCGAAAACATACAATCAAGCTATTCAGGTCAATTGACCAAAACAACATCAAAATGGTGCAAACAAGTTTCAATGCGTCCTAAACTGCCAAAACCACAAACAACCTTCATGTTAAACTTTAGAACGCAGCATGTTATGGTTCTGTGATGAACACAGCATCTGACAAACTATATCACAGAACCCCCACGAGTTTGGTTTACATATTTTCTACACACGACCCTATCTGTAGAATACAAATAAAACAAAAAAGAGAAGAAAGAATGAAACAAGGGAGCTAGAAGTAATAGAAAGCCTTAGAGGCCCCGTTTCAGAATTTATAGAACATTACAACATAAAAATGAATTTCATCTTTGTTCTTGAAGCTTGGCATCTTCTACTCTTTACAAATGATTGCATATGGAAACACCTGGAGATATTACTTTCTGGACCTTTTTGGGTTACCTTTATTACGCCCTTCTGTACGATGTTTTCTCTTGGAAGAACCGCTGTGAGACACAGCATTAGGGGCAGACTGAGATGGCACATGATGCCCATGACCCACAGCAGGGAACCCAACAGCAGAGGTTCTGCAATATTAACATGAACAAAACCTTTAAAATGACATCCATTAACATAATCTGCATCAGTCATTTCATAATTCATTGATGATGTCCAGATGAGACTGGTCGATTTCTTTTATTAAATCAAAGAATCACTTCCAGTCTAGCAGCATGAATAAAAGTGAATCTTCTTGTTTGGTGAGTGGTAAGAATTTCCATGTTATAAATTTATTCTGATTTTGGCATAAGCAGAACATTTACGTTTTAGAAAAAGGAGGGATACTTTTGCTTGAAAAAGCCCAAAGACCGTTCAGTGATTTTTCAGTCTCTCATCTCATTTTTAGTAATATCTCTACATATACAATTTTTAATCTGTTTTAGTTCTCGCCATAGGGATTAAAAGAAATTAGAATGATGTTTAGGGGCTAAAGAAAGGAATTAAAACTTCCATATCGCGAGACTAAAGGAATTAACTATAAAGACCTCATGAATAATTAAATATTTTAACATTTATATGACAGGATTAAACTAACCCTAATGACTTTTCAATTCAAACACAAACGGACTAAACATGGCACTACCTTACTTGGTACCAATAAAACACCTAAAGAAAATACGAAGGATCCGCCTCTCAAAATATTAAGACAACATAAAAGTTACAAGACTGACGAAAAAAATATAGTTTGCGGCTTAAAAAGGGCAGGCCTATTTATCCTTGGATGATTTATATTCACAAATCAGCAACTTTGATGTAATGTTAGCATGGACTGTATATATGTTCACAAAAACTCTGGTCATCCAAGACAACGTTATATAACTTACCAATGCTTCGACGAAGCTAAAACACGAGCCGTTAGCATAAAATTCATTTATGAAAATCACGAGAGGAAGGCCATATCATGAAAGCAAAATAATCATGCAAAATTGCTAGTCACCCAGATGAATGCCCAAAACAAAACAGCAATAGCAATAGAAGAATGGTAATTTGACTTGACATAGCAAGCCTTACCCAACAAGAGCACAGCAGACTCCTGCGAGGTCACGGAAACACCATATGCACCACGCGATTGCAAGCAAAGCCGCAAAGCATTGTTCTCAGCATAGCAGCACTGAAGCAAATGCCCCAGTCTTCTGCATTCCCCTTCTAAATACCTACTCTTCATCTCCAGGTCTTTCAAATAAGCCTTTTTCCTCTCCCTCGATCTCACAGCAGCATCCCTATTCCTCAACTGCCTGAAAAACACACGTCGAACACAACTTTCAAGAACATAACAAACATCATAAAACACCCCATCAGTTTTTGTTTCCAGCGAAATCTAGTTGATTATGAACCAACAATCACGATACAACCATCAACGTCCAATTTCTCAAAACACAATTCCTTTCGCGCACATAAAATTCATAAATCCTTCGAATTTGACATTCATTATATTCCATCGATACAAAATTAGATAGCAAAGTGCAACATCCACCATAATCCAATCATGTAACCAACTACATCAAGCATAAGCTAATTTCAACTTACTAAAAAGTTAATTTCATGTTTTCCTTATGTATAAACTCATCCAATCCAAACACACCCTTTCATTATATTACAAACTGCCATACATGACTTTTTCAAATGACTAAAAAATTTACAATGTCCGCCAAAAAAAAAAAGTCTCTTTTACCTTTTTAACTTTTTGGAAGTGGGTTCATCGGAAACCGCATCACCGGTTCTGTCTTTTTCGGAGCCTTCCTCAGACTCTGCCTTGGAACGCTCACTTTCCGGTCCCTCATCGGGCTCCACTAGAATCTCCTCGAGAAGCCTGTAGAAGTCGGACTCAGACGACTCGGACAACGGCGTTTCGGTGGAGACGACGTCGTTTTCGGGGTGGCCCATTAGAATGTTCTCGATTTGGGACAAAACGGGGTCGTTAGGGGAGGGATTGTCGCCGGCGACGCTAACAGGAGCGGTGTCATCCTGCAAAAAATCATGGGCGTCGAATTCAGGCACCTGGTCGAAGAACGAATCCCAATCAAATTGGGTGAGTAGGGTTTCTTCGGAAGTATCCATGGAAATTAAGAATTGAATTCCCAATGAGAGAAAAAAAAAATATTTATGGGGAACTTTTGTGTGTGCATTTGTAACTTGGCGACTAAGGAAGACAAGAACAGGAAGCGCGTGGATTTATTGTGCCGTCACTCGACCAATAGAATCGCATATCGTGGCATGCCTTTTCCACGTGGCTCATGTGAACCATCAAGAGATGTTCTGTTTTTTATTTTTTACAGTTGCTTTTTTGGCTTTGTCATTTGAGGAAAGTGGGGGGGAAACTTCATATTGGATTTTAAAATGAAAAAGTTTAGGATATGAAAAAGTCGGTAAAATTTAAAATGGGTTTTTAACAAAACGTGTAAAAAGAATTTAAAGTATCAAATATAAAATCCTAATTTATTTTAGGCTTAATTACCTACTTAGTTCCCAGAGATAATTTTCTGTTTAGTACCCAGTTTTAAAAATGTAGGCATTTGGTACCTATGTTTTGAAATTTGTATCAATTCAATCCTATCCAGTTAACGGCGTTATAATTGAATGCATCTTCATTAACGTCCTTAATTTCTCGCATCAATTATAACGCCGTTAACTGGATAGGATTGAATTGATACAAATTTCAAAACATAGGTACCAAATGCCTACATTTTTAAAACCGGGTACTAAACAGAAAATTACCTCCTAACATGGGGACTAAGTAGGTAATTAAGCCTTTATTTTATTATAACATTTATAAATTTGTAACACTCAAATTTTGAATTTATTTGGAGCATGTTTATATTTTGGCAGTAAAATATATTAAAGTGATATAATTAGTATAAATGTTGGCCTAATGAAATATATGTTATGAAAGACTAATTGTGTAGATATTATCAATAATATTTTTAATTTAACGAAGAATCAAATTAAACATATTAAAAATTTAAATGTAACAAAGGAAAAAATTTAAGGTATTCATACGAAGAAGATCACTTATTCATTACTAATATTTTCATCTTTATCATTATTAATGACGAATTCAGATACTTCTTCATTCTATTTTCATTTTGAATTAAAAAATAGTTGATACAAATTAATATTTTATCACTCATTGCTAATCTTTTCACTCTTATTATGGTCAATGACTAATTCAAATACTTCCACATTCTATTTTCATCTTGAAATAAAAAAAAAGTTTATAAAATGTAATATTTTATTTAGATGTAATTTTGATTCCATATAAGAAACATCTTATATTTTGAAAATTTAAACTCAAAAATAGAATTATGAAATTAGAATCTATACGTATATTTTGAAAAGATCCATAAATGTTATTTTTGTAACATTTTATTTTAATAGTGTAAAATTACTAAAATAAAAATGTACATACATAATAACATACAAGAAATCTGAGACTACTAGAGCAGAAGATTCTATCCTTGAAGACAAAACTCTCTATCTTGTTGCTTCTCTCTCAACCAACCATTAAATCAACTAAAAAGATGTCCCCTTTCTAAGCTCACATCGGTTAAAGTGATCATTGTAAAAGAAAAAACAACACACATATACAAACACCAAAGCAAAGGTAAGCTAGTGATACAAAATGTTTTCATAATACATAAAAACATATTAAACATTTTACTTAATGATATATATCTCAGACCAAATCAACCAGATACTTTATGCATGACAACCCTTTGACTTGACTATCCATATTAGTATGAATATCAAGCTACGACAGTTCGTGCACTTGTTGTGGTGAAATAATTGACCCAATCCAAGCTATCACACAATGTTAGTCTGTTATCACTCGTCTTAGGCCAAGGTAAAGCTCCTGGGCTAGGACCTCCTGTTATTCTCACAACATGACTCACCCCTCTTTACTTGAGAATGGATGACCATTAGAATGTCAAGATGAACTTCAAGACTGATATTCTCATATTCATAATTACAATACTTGAAACCACCACTAAGAAGTTTCTCCTTGGAACTCTCTTCCATACCTTTTAAACCATTGAGACCATTTAACATTCACATAGTGTACCAATACATGAGACTACTAGTCATACATTAAAGAAATAGAAACACACATACAAGTCATTAGAAATCACACAATAACACATTTTCTTCATAGCAACTTGATACTCACACTTAGGCAAGGAAAACAACTCTGAAACATTCACCAACAGCCCTTGAAGGGTCCAAAACCTTCAAAATGACCTAAAGAATGTCCAAAACTGATACCCAAAACCCTGAAAACCACCAAAAACTAGTACGACAATAATCGATTGCCAAAAGCTTTGAAGAAAATACGACCCTCTGACTGGAATAATCGATTATTAAGTAAGATAATAAATTATTCTTATTAGTTTTTGGCAACGACCTAATTTTTCTGGTTTTGGTGCATCTTAAACATATCCAAATGATCAATTTAGAAGTTGTATCACTAATATGAAAGCATGCTTATAAATGAAAGTAAAATATTACATTGCTCATTTGGATATAAATTAGATGTACCAAACCAACTCAACAACTCAAAAGTGCCTAATCTCAATTTTATCTCTTGCAACACTCAATATCAGGACAAGTCTTAATACACTAGATAACATACCCAAATACCTCAGTTTCACTCGAGCTATCCTACTTTCAATTTCCAACACCTAAAACCTCTAAAATGGACTAGAAACTTAACTTATGAAGCCAATATCACTTCCATGACAAATTTTACTGGTTTTAGTACCTAGAGAAGTCCTAATAGGTATAATGACAGACCTCAAACCTTCTTAAACAATTTATACTCACTACTTCAAAATCTCACTACTCAAAATCCCTTTTTTACACCGAAACACTTGAAAACTTCAAATATAAACTCTCCCTTTGCTACATAACAGTTTTCCAACCAACTAGTCTTCCTAACAAGTCCTAATTTACTTCATGACAACACCTAGACAGTAACTTCCTCACGTTGGTCCCAAATTCTCAAACTCACATACAAACCCTCATTTTAGGCCTGAAACCAAAGAATTTTACCATTTCTCATCACAATCATTTTGAATTCAGTTTCAAACAACAACACAACTTCATCACACATATTCATAACAATATCAAACATCAAACTCACACAATTCCAAGTATACAAACATCATTCTACCAAGTATCGTTATCTCAACATCAAGAATATTATCACAATTACATTTAATTCATCATTATATATATATATATATATATATATATATATATATATATATATACACACACACACACAGACACACACACATACATACACATACACACACACATATATATATACACACACAGACACTAATTTAACACCAAAATCATCTAAAACAAAGTCTCGCTTCCTTTGCCTCACAATAAAGAGCCTAACTTAAAGAACCTTCCGCCGATTGCTTGAAACGTAAGGAATCTTTAGACGAAGCTACGAAACACCAAATTGGAAGCGAACAAAGTCCTTAAAACTCTATATCAGAGAGGAAAAATGAGTTGAAATTTACTTGCTCTATGATAAAAGTTGATGGACAAAAATGTATACTTCATCGCCGTGATCATTTAAACACCTTTTGATAATCAAATAGATTATTTATACGTCAGAATTCCTAGAAAGAAAGTAAAAAACTTTAAAAAAATAATTTTTAGAGAAATGATATGTTTTAATACAAATTTATAATAAAACCATTTAATATTAAAATAATTATATCTTGAGTTTTACTCATGACTGTTAATCTAATTTAATCATTTTATAAATTAAAATAATTATTTTACTATTTTATTCTTTTAATAATAAATTTTAAAATTTAAATAATTATCTATAATAAAAAAAATTGATAATAAAAAATCATATAAATTATTTATTTTTATAATTATTTTATAATTTAATAATTTTCATTAAAAAAAGTAAAACACATATGCGCTTCCCACTAGTAATATATAGAAGCAATATTTAATAGTTTTTTTTTTCACTATTACAATAATTTGTTCCATTTAATCTTATTTTTTAAATCCTTTTAATTCTATGTTTTAAAAGTGATTAATTATAATTCTTTTCATCAAATTAACGATGACACTATTCCTATAATGATGTGTGACACCTATTTTTGGTATCACATGCTAATTTTGTCAATCAGTGAACTTGATGTTGTATTATTTATTATTTATCATACATGTTATTGTTACTTTTAGGTTTAATAGGTTCGGAGGTCCCTATATTTGCAGGTTTGTTTCACTTGGGTCCTCCAATTTTAGAAGTGATCAATTAGGTCCCTAATTTAACAAAATTGAGTCAATAATACCCTTTCCGTTAAATGCACTGGACGACGTTAACTTGTTAAACAGGTGGCATGCTGAGTCATCAATTTATTTGCAGGTGGCAGAGTTTGAGCTTAATACGTGGCAATTTCTGCAATGTTTAATTTGGATTCAGATTCTCTTTTCCTTTCTAATCCTAATTGTTTAAAATTCGCCAAATTGTTTAATCCTGAAGTTTTCTAGGACAAGGTTTGTTCTCTCAGTACATCCTTCATAGATCCATTCCTGGACAAAGAACCTTCAGACCCCTCGCATATGGCCTTCGCCTGTTTCTGCATCTCAGCTAGGCCTTCGCCTGTTTCTGCATCTCAGCCAGGCCTTCGCATATGGCCTGAAGCTTCGCGTCAACGGAGGAATGGAGCGACTTGTACGCGGCCTTGTCGTACGCCAGAGCGGCTTCCTCGGCGGTGTCGAATGTTCCCAGCCAGAGCGTGGTCCGATTCTTGGGGAGTCTGATCTCAGCATGAATAAATTATATATTGAAAGGTGTTGAATAAATAGTAAATATTTTACTTATAATGAAATAAATCAATCATTCAAACACGCAGAATTGAACAAAAATGAATAGCCAGCACTGCCAAGTTGGAAGGAGTGAACCAGTAACCCCACTGGTAGCGGATACAGCAAATCCATACCCACATCATCAACATACCAAATTTAACTAAAAACAATGCTTACAAAGAATATGCGACGAATACATATCAACATTAAACAAATCAAGTAATTTAGCATGGCTTCTTCCCCAATGGTGTGGTATGCAGCAAGAGCAATCTTTCTCTGGAGTCCCCTTCGGTGATGAATTCTGGAGAAAGAATAAAACCCGGCACGACATCTTCTAACTACATAGTACCCACTTCTATGCCTATTTACAGTAAGAATCTCAATTCGAAAACTGAAATTTGAAAACTTGCTTTCAAAATACAACTCCATCCGAATCAATCTTCCAAAACCCAGGTTCTCGTGGAACTTCTTCTTCTACTGAAGAGCGAAGTTGAAAGGCTACGACTTGTAGTCAAAGCCCCAATTCTCCCAAACCAATTCCGGAACATTCTGCCAATTCCACCTCGACTTTCCCTCACTCTCCCGCTTCCAACTGACAGAGAGATTCTCCTAGAACCTTCGCTCAAATTCCCACCATTCTCCATCTCCGTGTACACCACCGGCAAGTGGCTCTCACCGGCGAACCTACCCACGGCGAATCCGCCGCCAGGCAGCCTCCATATGGTCAACCCTACCGCTTCCTCTTCGATCTGGCCAGCAACTCTGCTCTCCGATGACGCTTGCTCCGACGGCAGCTCGTGGCGGCACACGGCTTGAAGAAGATGAACCACAGAAGACTGAAAGCTTTGAAGAAAACGGAGAAAGAGAAAAAAATATCTGTGAAGGCCTCTCGTCATTCCTGGTTCTGCCACGTATTAAGCTCAAACTCTGCCACCTGACTCAGCATGCCACCTGTTTAACAAGTTAACGCCGTCCAATACATTTAACGGAAAGGGTATTATTGACTCAATTTTGTTAAATTAGGGACCTAATTGATAATTTCTAAAATTAGAGGACCCAAGTGAAACGAACCCACAAATATAGGGACCTCCGAACCTATTAAACCTTACTTTTATTAATATTCTGACATTATTACCGTTACTATACAATGACATTTCGAAAAAGTTATATTATTTTCCTTTCTAAAAAAATAAAACTAAATTAATTATGCTTGAACTTGTGAAATAAAATTGAAAAATCATCATAATAATAAAATAAAAAAATTTATTAGACCGGACAACAATTATATACACTAACATGCAAATTCTCTTTGAAAGAATTTTTTTAGATTAGTATATTATAAAAGTTGAAAATTAATGAATAATTGTTGAAAGAAAAAACTTGGATTAATATTGCAATAATTCCTTTAAAAAACAAACAAATGATAAACGACAGTCGAAGAATATTTGAAAAGTTTATTAATTTGAGAAACTACAAGTCCACTTTCCAGTGACCACAAAACAAGAGTCTGCACGTTGTTTCCATCACCACCATTCCCTCAACTTTCCCACTCACTCATTTACTTCGTTCACTCGTTCTCGGCAAAATCCACCGCAAAATGTTCGCATCAGCTTCCTCCCAATTACTGTTTAGAGTTCAGTCACTGCACTCCACGGAGCCAATGGCGCACTCACTCACCCTCTCGCGCTTTCCCGCCACCATTTCCTCCTCCTTTCACCGCCACCACTACGCCGTTAAACCCCTAACTCTCCGCTCCGTTTCTCGCCGTTTTAAACCCGCACTCATCAGAGCCTGTGACCGATCGCAGCAGGTTCTCTCTTTCCATCGCCTGTGCTATCGGCTGAGAAAACATACATGAACAAAATTGTTAATTTGGACATGCATTAGTTCCCAAGTTTAGGGAAAAAAAATACGAATTCATTTTCTTTTCTTTTCTCAATGTAGTGAAAAAGAATTTGTTTTTAGAATAAAGTTTATGTTGAACCCAATTGTTCTCGTGGAGTGGAGTAGGCTATGAGTGAGGTGGCTGACGCTTTGGAAAAGATTTTGGTATATTAAATGTGACCCTAAGTTGAATATTCTTTAGGCCAACATTTTCATTCACCATGTGCAATTTAATGTTGTTGGTGTGGTGTTGTAATGTTGAGTTTTTCTCAATTAATTTAATTTTGTAAATTCAGATTGGTGGCAATGGCAGTAAAGGGACGAAAGAATTGAGTTGGCTGGAACCAATTTTGAAATTTGCTAGGAGCAACGTTCTACCTTTAGGTGGCTCTCCTTTCTGTCATGTGCATTCAAGTTTCGTTGTTTTTTTTTTTATGATTTTGTTTATGGTTTACTTCATTTTGATTATGTTCTAATGGATAACAAATTTGGTTGTGTTTTTGAGGCAACGTGTAGCTCTGGTTAGTGCAGTGACATTAGGATTAACATATCCTAGTCTTGGTTGTGCTGCTGATAAATTTAATGTGTCAAAAGTTGGTCCATTTGGAATTTTTGTGATCTCAGGTTAGTTTTCGTGGATAGTCTTTTGCATCTATTTGTTATTTTTATTTTACAATACCCTTATCTCAAGGTGTTTTTATGGGTTATCGTATAGGATTGATGTTGCGTAGTGAAGAAATTGGTGCAGCTGTAGAAGCATGGCCTGTTGGACTCTTTGGGCTTGTATGAACATAAAATTTTTATGAATGAATTTTACAGGCTGGTTCACCACAACCTGTTTCGACCGGTCATCCAATATTTGATTAAAATCTTATCCCATATTTGATTGGAGGGCCTTTTTCTGGGCTCACTTTTCCTAATTGGAATATAACTGATCATGCTGCAAATTTATTATGAAGTTGTATATAATATATAATATTGCAAATTTTGTAAGTTAATTTGTAGAATTTCTCTTATATTAACTTCTCCAAAATCTGATTTTTAACTTATGCATGGGATAATATCATCTTATTGGAGAAACTTATTTCATTTTTCCTTTTGTCTACTTCTCCTATAAGTGGTTTATATATGTGTGTATGTTTATACGAGACAAGATATTTTGAACCTGTTGAAAACTATACTCAACATTATGTCCTTTTTCCTAGCAAGGAAAAAGAATGTAACATGGCTCAGTTTTCTATTTTCGTGGACAAGGATAAAAGTTTTAACTTGAAAAAGTAAATGTCATTTTGTTTGTACGATAGCATCAATTGAGCATATTGTTAGACGGGTTTGACTACATTGATCAATTGACACCATTGAACTCTATGAAAAATTAATGATCTCAACTTGTTCTAGTATGTCTGCATGTTTTAAAAACTAAATCTTTAAGGTTATTTTTTTATGTATTTTCCAATGTGTAATGTGTTCTTTGGTTCTTCTTTCAGGTGTCTATTTTATTTCTTACACCATACTTTTCCAGGATAATATTGCAAATTCAGCTCCAACCCCAGGAATTTATTACAGGTTTAACATTTATTTTTATTCTACCTTAAGTATAATTCAGCCATTTCCAAGATACTTTAATAGTAGTTGTATTGTTTAAGCTAGGGTAACCACATTTGTATCTTGCTGACCTGAGATTTTGTCAAACCTTGAATAACTGCTAATTAAATTTTGACTGCATTGTGTTACCTTATAGACTTCTTTTCGATACTTAAGAAACTCAAGTTTCTATGTTGAAGAACTACTTCATGTTTGCAGATATAATGTTTGGTAAATCAAATAATTCTGCATTATTGGAAAGATCGTGTTTTATGTGTTATGCATTGATTCATTGAAACCTGTCTCTGCTTTAAGTTGATGATTAAATTTTAGGTGGTTTATTTTCCTTGAAGGGTGCTTCTTTGACCATTTGTTCAATGACTAGCTCTATTATTATTTTATCTAATTTCAGCACAATATATTGATATACTAATAGGCTTATGTCAGAACAAAAATGCGGACTTCTATAAAATATAGAACTTAGACCTATGTCAGACTATAGTTTATGTAGGCATGCCCTTAGACTGTCAGTATAGACTTATTTACAGTGTATGTGATAACGAAACCAAAGTCTTGGCTAGATGTATTATGTAGGTAGAGTTTTGGTTCAACACTAGATATAATGCATCTAGTTAAATGACACCTTTCAAGGCATTGTATGGATGCAATCCACCCTTATTGTTGAAAGGGACAATCATTCCTTCAATAGTGGAAGAGGTCATCAGGTTGACTAAACAATGTGATGAGATGAATGATGACTTAAGGCAGGATCTTTTAAAAGCCTCGAATAGAATAAGAATATAATATAATAAGCATAGGAGAGGTGTGTATTATGTTGTGAAAGATTAAGTTTTTCTTAAATTTTAACCCTAAAAGATGTGCTCGTTGGCTGAAAGACCTAACAATTAGCTCATTCCTCATTTTTATGCCCCATATAGGTCAAATAACCCATAAGCTGGATTTAGCGGGGGATAGCAAGATCCACCCCAGTTTTCATGGGTCCCCCTCAAGAAGGTAGTTAGTACACCACAATTTATTTGACCTCTAACCTTGGCCTTGGCAGATGACATAGAGCTCCAAGTTCAACCAGCAAAATGTGTTTAGATATCAAGTGGGGAGGATTAGATGATTTAGAAGGCAACATCTACTCTACAACAAGCCTTTCCTCATTCTCTCCCTATTCTTTGCCTAAGGAAATGGTGGATCTTTTGCTGGGGACAAGTGTTGTTAGTGTTAAAAAGAAGAGTTTAAGCCTAACTCAACCTCACAAAATTGGCTTGTGAGATGAGGTCTACACCCTATTTATATATTTTAATTTGATTTTATCTCTAGTTGGTGTTAGATCTCCAACACACTCTCTCATGTCAAAGATTGATCTCAAGCAGTAGAATAGATATTTGTGGGTGGTCTAATAGGAGTCCAATAGAGGAAGACATGATAGTCCCAACAAATTTTGCTAAGATAAACTTTCAAATAATATGCTTTGATAACATGATATAAATGAAGGTTTAAGCCCACCTCAATTTCACAAAATCAGCTTATAAGATGAGATTCACACTTTCATTTATATATTAGTATTTGACTAATATCTAGTCAATGTGAGAATTTCAACTATTCGCAACATGGGGCCTACTAAAATGTACTATAGAAGGAATAAGAAGATAATAGACCCAACCAACCCGGAAGTCAATTAGTTAGGAAATTACAGGGATAAGTCAGGAGTTAACAAGTATAAATAGCAATGTAATTATTGCAATACTCACTGTCCCTTCCTCCATGGCCTATTTTGTCACTAATTCTTTCCATAGTATCAAGAGTTTGATGAGAAAGTAGCTCAAATTTGTGCTTTCACTATAGAAACCACATATGTTTTCTAGTTTTTTTTTCTCCTACCATCATTGTTCACTCTAGATATGATGTTTTGTGTTGCTATCACAGTTCATCCTATTTGTTGCTATCACTATTGTTCACTGTCGATGAGATTTTTGGTGAGCCTTTTTTGATGAGTTTTTTTTTCCTGGCAGCGTTATTGTTTGCTTTTGGCATTTTTTGTAGAGAGTATATTTTACCGCCAAAATTTTTCGACAAGTATTGTTTACTGCTTATGTTTTTTGGTTAAGTACAACTTGTGGTGTTTTTCTAGTGAGTTTCTTATCAACTTGCGAAGGTGGTATGTAATTCCAGAACTTCTATTACGTAGATACCATAAATCACCTACTGAGATTAAACTATATGGAGACTAATACCTGAAACTATATGCTGCGACTTCATTGAAGTTGCCATGCTGGTGATTCTGAGAGCTCTGTGAGTGTTTTCCTTGTTGAAGATGAAAAACATTTTTTGTAAAGAATATGCAAATGGATTTTTTACAAATGATAGAAAAAATTTGATTTTTAGATACTTATAATTTGGGAAACTGGCTTATGTACAACAATCAGAAAAAATAAAGAAAATGCTTGGGAACATGGTTGGATATATCTTGAATTTTGTCCAGTTGTTAAAGTTATGTTTCTGTTCCATATATTGAAAAGGCACCACTGGAAGGTGATATATTGAAGGAGCTACCTCTATTAGAGAAGGTGAATGCAACAAACCATCAAACGCCAAGCCTTGTTTTGAGCTTGACATATATCTAGACAATATAATAAGTCATACAAAACAAACTATATGTATTGCTTATCAAATGATCAATTTTTTGAACATTTGTTTAATTGGAGGATGGATGGACACATTGCTTACCAAATGATCAATTTTTTGAACATTTGTCTAATTTTTTTTTTTAGCCTTTTGGTTTCTTTATTTTCCAAATACTTTGTGATTGTGCTTTATAAAATGAATATGAAACTCTACCTTGTTTCTATTTGCTGATAAACACTTGCAGGTACATCACTCTTCCATTTTGGTATCATAAATTGCACATTTCCAACAATTGATTCTCAGTAATGTCTGTATTAGCTGTTGACGGTTGGCTTTCTTAGTCATCAATATTTTCAATTTGAGATATGAATTTCTGGGTCTCTACAGGGCTGGCTATATTTAGCTGTATGCCAACTACATTATCAAGTGGTGTCGCACTTACCCAGGTATGGTTATATTCTGTCTCCTTTCTTGCTGTCCTTTTGGCTTCTTTTCTTATACTTTTTATCTACTACCCGTAAACAAGTTGAATTTTGCTTGAGTTTTCTCACTTTGCTTCTGCAGCTTGCTGGGGGAAATTCTGCGCTTGCTCTTGCAATGACTGTAATATCCAACTTGTTAGGAATAATGATTGTGAGTCATGAAGAGTTACATATTTAACATTATCCTCAATTTAATCTCGTTTTTTCATTTTTTCTAAGTTTATTTCAGAATAATTATATGGCTGTATTGAAATTTAGGGATGGGTAACTCCTAAACTCTGTCTATTTGAATTTCTTAAGCAAAACATCTTTCTAAAATCTGAACAAACCCCTCCTGTTTTGTGAATATGCTGCATACAATTATACCCAAAATCTCTATTTTTGTATATAACTGGCAAAAATATCCTTATTATGGATTCTTTCTCATGATATAGACCCTCCTTTTATTTGTTAAAGATTGGATTTAACCTCTAGGTTAATACATTACAACCAAATCCCTCCATTATAGTAAACATTCGAAATTGCTGAACACTTTGACAAAAGTTTTAAAATAACATTAAATAACATAAAAAATAGAGAAATACATTATCATTTCAGATTCAAATTAGAAAGATTATTTTAAATTTTTGTACTGAAAAATCTAATAAAAACATAATCACATGACTTATTAATAAGATTGAATAAAAATAATTCTTTTAAAATTGGATTTTTAAGAATTAAAACTGAAAAATGAAATTATTTTAATTTACTTTTTTATTAATATATCACTTGATTAAGTACCAATTTTTAATATGCAAATTCCTGATGACATTTTGTTGTATTTCCTTCATGCCATTCCATTATACACAATATATTCTGAAGGTCCTACAAGATTTTTTTAAGATATTATATGAATAGAGAGATGTGAAGATATCTTAACAAATTGAATACACTGAAGGAAATTGCATATTAAGCTAGAGTAACAAAATGTCATATTGAGAAGCGTTGGTTTTGATAATGGGGCCATCCTCCAGCCCTCTATCTTAATCCTCTATTTTCTCACATTTAAAGTTTTGTTAGAATATTGGGATTCTTATACCCTTGGCCCACATATTATACTAGTATTGGACGGGACTTGTACTGGTTATATGAAATTAGCAGTTAACATAAGTGGTAGAAAATATATATTTATACATGTGCTTATTAGGTATTTTTTGTATTAATGGGCTGGGTCTATCTTTCTTCTACCGATTTTTGTCAATATATATAGACAAAAGGCAGATTAACAACATGGAGTTTTTGTTTTTTTTTTTCGTTTTCTCTTCTTGATTTTTTCTAACAATAACACTTAGCATTATGCATCAGCCTCATACATCACATCATCAACAATAATATTATTAATATTTTATCTCTTGTCGCTTTTCATCATATGAAGTCCATATTATTTCAGTATTTTTATTGTTACATCTACATTTTCTCCATCTAATTTAATTCTAGTTTTTGTTATATTTATGATAATATTTTATCTTTTAGATTCCACTTTCCATCACAAAATTTGTAGCTGCTGGAGTTGGAGTAACTCTACCTATCAAGCAGTTATTTAACAGTCTTGTTCTGACCATATTAATCCCCCTTATCTTGGGAAAGGTAATTGGGTTCCTTCATATACCTGATACTATAGATGCTGTTTGAATAATTCCAAGGTGATCTAATTCTGGACACCAAAAATGTATCTTCTCTGCGTGGGCTTACTTATGGGTTCTTTATGTTCAAAAGGCTGTGTAGTAAATATATTTGAATTTAGTTCTTTATGTACACCTTAGTGACAGTATAATACATTTGTTTTGGCGTTTTCTATTTGGTCTTTGGAGCTGAATGCCCAAATTCTTATGTTACATCAGTTTCTTAAAAGTATTTTAATCTTCTTTGTTGCTTTGAATGGGCAGGTTCTACGTGAATCTTTTAAAGGTTTGTCCATCTGTTTATGCTTGTTAATGTAACTTGTTTGTCACATGTTTTGATGGATAAAATAACTATTGTCATTATTAAATGAAATAATAACTGGCAATGAGAACGAAATTGTAATGCAGAGTTTCTTTGGAAGTCGTAGTTGCAAAGTGGTATCTAATAGTTATAGGGAAAATATTTTATTAGATTATTTACTTGCATGTCATTTGTAATCATCTCCATACATTTGACTTTACTTTATGTCAAGCAAAGGCTGGTCAACTTAATATTTTCAAAATGTTGTCTTACAGAAATCCACTATCATAAAATGTAAAGCCAAAACAAAGAGTAAAAAACAAACAAAAAACAAAACCAAAGTAGTAGCAATGGCTAATTCTTCAACAACTTTTAGATAAAGCCTGGTGCTTAAAAGGTTTTACAAAGTAAANAAAGAAAATGCTTGGGAACATGGTTGGATATATCTTGAATTTTGTCCAGTTGTTAAAGTTATGTTTCTGTTCCATATATTGAAAAGGCACCACTGGAAGGTGATATATTGAAGGAGCTACCTCTATTAGAGAAGGTGAATGCAACAAACCATCAAACGCCAAGCCTTGTTTTGAGCTTGACATATATCTAGACAATATAATAAGTCATACAAAACAAACTATATGTATTGCTTATCAAATGATCAATTTTTTGAACATTTGTTTAATTGGAGGATGGATGGACACATTGCTTACCAAATGATCAATTTTTTGAACATTTGTCTAATTTTTTTTTTTAGCCTTTTGGTTTCTTTATTTTCCAAATACTTTGTGATTGTGCTTTATAAAATGAATATGAAACTCTACCTTGTTTCTATTTGCTGATCAACACTTGCAGGTACATCACTCTTCCATTTTGGTATCATAAATTGCACATTTCCAACAATTGATTCTCAGTAATGTCTGTATTAGCTGTTGACGGTTGGCTTTCTTAGTCATCAATATTTTCAATTTGAGATATGAATTTCTGGGTCTCTACAGGGCTGGCTATATTTAGCTGTATGCCAACTACATTATCAAGTGGTGTCGCACTTACCCAGGTATGGTTATATTCTGTCTCCTTTCTTGCTGTCCTTTTGGCTTCTTTTCTTATACTTTTTATCTACTACCCGTAAACAAGTTGAATTTTGCTTGAGTTTTCTCACTTTGCTTCTGCAGCTTGCTGGGGGAAATTCTGCGCTTGCTCTTGCAATGACTGTAATATCCAACTTGTTAGGAATAATGATTGTGAGTCATGAAGAGTTACATATTTAACATTATCCTCAATTTAATCTCGTTTTTTCATTTTTTCTAAGTTTATTTCAGAATAATTATATGGCTGTATTGAAATTTAGGGATGGGTAACTCCTAAACTCTGTCTATTTGAATTTCTTAAGCAAAACATCTTTCTAAAATCTGAACAAACCCCTCCTGTTTTGTGAATATGCTGCATACAATTATACCCAAAATCTCTATTTTTGTATATAACTGGCAAAAATATCCTTATTATGGATTCTTTCTCATGATATAGACCCTCCTTTTATTTGTTAAAGATTGGATTTAACCTCTAGGTTAATACATTACAACCAAATCCCTCCATTATAGTAAACATTCGAAATTGCTGAACACTTTGACAAAAGTTTTAAAATAACATTAAATAACATAAAAAATAGAGAAATACATTATCATTTCAGATTCAAATTAGAAAGATTATTTTAAATTTTTGTACTGAAAAATCTAATAAAAACATAATCACATGACTTATTAATAAGATTGAATAAAAATAATTCTTTTAAAATTGGATTTTTAAGAATTAAAACTGAAAAATGAAATTATTTTAATTTACTTTTTTATTAATATATCACTTGATTAAGTACCAATTTTTAATATGCAAATTCCTGATGACATTTTGTTGTATTTCCTTCATGCCATTCCATTATACACAATATATTCTGAAGGTCCTACAAGATTTTTTTAAGATATTATATGAATAGAGAGATGTGAAGATATCTTAACAAATTGAATACACTGAAGGAAATTGCATATTAAGCTAGAGTAACAAAATGTCATATTGAGAAGCGTTGGTTTTGATAATGGGGCCATCCTCCAGCCCTCTATCTTAATCCTCTATTTTCTCACATTTAAAGTTTTGTTAGAATATTGGGATTCTTATACCCTTGGCCCACATATTATACTAGTATTGGACGGGACTTGTACTGGTTATATGAAATTAGCAGTTAACATAAGTGGTAGAAAATATATATTTATACATGTGCTTATTAGGTATTTTTTGTATTAATGGGCTGGGTCTATCTTTCTTCTACCGATTTTTGTCAATATATATAGACAAAAGGCAGATTAACAACATGGAGTTTTTGTTTTTTTTTTTCGTTTTCTCTTCTTGATTTTTTCTAACAATAACACTTAGCATTATGCATCAGCCTCATACATCACATCATCAACAATAATATTATTAATATTTTATCTCTTGTCGCTTTTCATCATATGAAGTCCATATTATTTCAGTATTTTTATTGTTACATCTACATTTTCTCCATCTAATTTAATTCTAGTTTTTGTTATATTTATGATAATATTTTATCTTTTAGATTCCACTTTCCATCACAAAATTTGTAGCTGCTGGAGTTGGAGTAACTCTACCTATCAAGCAGTTATTTAACAGTCTTGTTCTGACCATATTAATCCCCCTTATCTTGGGAAAGGTAATTGGGTTCCTTCATATACCTGATACTATAGATGCTGTTTGAATAATTCCAAGGTGATCTAATTCTGGACACCAAAAATGTATCTTCTCTGCGTGGGCTTACTTATGGGTTCTTTATGTTCAAAAGGCTGTGTAGTAAATATATTTGAATTTAGTTCTTTATGTACACCTTAGTGACAGTATAATACATTTGTTTTGGCGTTTTCTATTTGGTCTTTGGAGCTGAATGCCCAAATTCTTATGTTACATCAGTTTCTTAAAAGTATTTTAATCTTCTTTGTTGCTTTGAATGGGCAGGTTCTACGTGAATCTTTTAAAGGTTTGTCCATCTGTTTATGCTTGTTCATGTAACTTGTTTGTCACATGTTTTGATGGATAAAATAACTATTGTCATTATTAAATGAAATAATAACTGGCAATGAGAACGAAATTGTAATGCAGAGTTTCTTTGGAAGTCGTAGTTGCAAAGTGGTATCTAATAGTTATAGGGAAAATATTTTATTAGATTATTTACTTGCATGTCATTTGTAATCATCTCCATACATTTGACTTTACTTTATGTCAAGCAAAGGCTGGTCAACTTAATATTTTCAAAATGTTGTCTTACAGAAATCCACTATCATAAAATGTAAAGCCAAAACAAAGAGTAAAAAACAAACAAAAAACAAAACCAAAGTAGTAGCAATGGCTAATTCTTCAACAACTTTTAGATAAAGCCTGGTGCTTAAAAGGTTTTACAAAGTAAATAAATGTGCCTAATCTTATCCTAAATTAAATATTAAGACGATGGAATCTTCCTTAAAAATTACTGAGTGAGAAGAATTTTCAGGAGATACTCTTCATTAATATGCTAATGTCAATCTACTAGTTTACTCAAAACCCAATCCCTTAGTGAAAAGAGCCTAGATTTCCTTATTAGACTTCAATCCCTTGAAAATCCTAATAAGTAACTCCGCATTAAGAATTAAGATTTAAGACAACTAAAGGTCCAAGTTCTATTCCTAGACACAATTTCCTTTAGGTAGCTTATTCCAAGTCTAGGTTTATAAGATATTTTCCAATGTCAAACAAACCAAATATCAAGCTATGAGTGGCCAAAACATAACAAGCATTAGGTGCAGGACAAAACTACTAGTATTCAATGAAAGAGGCAATACATATATTCAAAACATCTTCATATTACATAAGAGTTTGGTGGTTACATCTAACCCTAACAAGAATGAAGTTAGCTCTCCATTGTCATGGAGAGCTCAAGCTTACAATGGAAGAAATGGAAGAAAGTGGAGACCCAAGGAAGAAGAAAGGAGTGCTCCGACACACCCAAGCTAGCCTCCAAGTGCTCCAAGAGAGTATTTTTGTGTTAGCCGCGAAAAGATGATACTCCCTTCGCGTTTTAGCATTAAATAGGTCAAAAATGCCACATCGGCAAAAGTGACGCTCAACGCCCAAACAGAGGGGCGCCCAGGCACCAACTTTGCGAATTGAATGGCGCTCAGTGTCCTGGATGGGGCGCCTAGGCGTGAGATTTACGAAGTAAGTGGCGCTCAGCGCCCAGAGATGGGGTGCCCAAGTGTGAATCTGAACTTCATGAGATCTTGCTTTTGATGTTCTTTGTGCTTTTCCTAGGTTTCAGCGTCTTGATTTGGTTGAGGTTCTTCCAAAGCACAAAATTAGCCTACAAAACAAAGGGATTAATGATGATATCAACTAAGTGTAACCTAAACTACAATTATTTACAAAAGCAAGATAAAAGAGAGGATTAAGCAAGTTTCAAGTTAGAAAAGAGTTGATTTTGCTAGGAAAATGAGGCTTAGATAAAGATAAGAATTAGTGTTATCAACCCTTCGTAGGTGGCCCATTCTGAGGCTATGAGAACCAACTTTGATGTTCTCCAACTGAGGCAAGCTATGGATGGCTGCAATTAAAGTGACTTTCTGACAAAGTTATAATGATTTACCATGATAACTTCTTTACCATTCCATATATGCACGTACAGTTTACTTGTCTGTGTAACCTTTTCCAGGTGTAAGAGGGAAAGAATAATGAAAGAAAATGATTAAGGGAATGATTGAATATGACAGATATAAGCTACATTGCAGCTTTGTTGAGTTTATTAATTTGATAAATTGTGTCAAGCAGAGTTGGTGGGTCAGGTTTAGTTTCTTTGTTTTAATTTTAACTAGCGTCAGTTAGTTTCATGTTTCACTAAAGTGCGACTTGTAGTAACCAAAAGAGCAAATGAGAAATATTGTCTTTTAAGAGAAGTTGTCTTTGTGATTCTTGTGTTATAAGTATGCCTCTGTTGTCTGTCTGTCTTTTCTTTAGTGGATAGGAAGAAACATAGGAGAACTCTATTAGGCATGATTATTTGTGCTTCTTTTTATAATAAAAATTTTCTTTTATAAGTTAAATGACGTGTTTGCAGAAATTTATAATAATTAAGCTTTTAAAAAAATAGAAATTAAAAAAGCTGTTTTAGTGCCTTTCTCTGAAGTCAAAACCCTATCTTATAATATTTTTTTCTTCTTATAATCACTTTCATATGCTCTAACTTAGTTTTATCCCTGGTTGCAATCATATCATAATTTTTTTTTCTTAAACAAGCAGGCCCTTAGTTGTTGCACATTTAAGGATATGTTATTCTCCCTTTGCATACTTTCTCCTTTTTTTTTTCACCATAACATTATCATATATTAAGAATTTTTTTATTTTTATATATACCTTACAGGTGTGGCTGACTTTGTCGACAAAAACCGCAAGCTTTTCTCATTGATCAGTGCCCTTTTCCTTAGCCTTGTAAGAACAATTTCTTTGTGGTGTTTCCCTGTTTCCTTTCTCTGAGTAGGTGGTTTTCCTTGCACCAAGTTGATGGAAAAGATTGCATATGTTTTGTCTTGTCTTTTGAACATGTTCAGAATATTAAGTTATAAGAATGAATGGAATGCATTATGCTGTTTCTTTTTATTGTTTATATTGTTGGACCAGAACAGTGGTGCATCTTATGTATTAGAATCAGCTCATTAAATTTTAACGTTAGCTTTAGAATGTCGTCATGGCTTCACATATCAATTGAGTTCTCTTCAATCCTTTGATAACATGTTTACAATTGTTGTGATGCATATTCTTCCTTCCCTTCATCTTCATCTTTGAAAACCAGTAGTCAGCAATCAACATTCTTTTTTATGGGAAAAAATACAATTTTTCCACTTTTCTAATTATATTCAATATGACCCAGACTAGGCGAGTTAATGACCACTGGACTATTGATTAATGACTAGTCCTTCTGGTAGTCTTGTCACAAAGTCAGCCATATATGATTCTACCGAGTTCAGTCCAAAAACGAGTTTGGTTCCGAGTTAACTCGAAAACCATGACTAAGAGTAAACTCGGACGAGTTAACTGAGTAAACTCGGACGAGTTAACTGAGTTAACTCGCGAGTTTGACAACCATGGTCTTGTCCCCTTGTTTTTTCTCCATGGGAATAAGAATAGTTTACTGGGAAAAACTGTTCTTTTGCTTCCCATTGAAGCCATTAAGTCAAGGGACATATTTTGTGCATTCAGGGCCAGAAAAATAATTGTGCTGATTAATCATTAATTACATTATGTTTGTGTTTGTGAAGTGTAATAATACCTGTAACTGAACAACTTTGATCAAAACTAAAATATTTCCAATTCTGCATCCAAATAACAAACGTTTGTCTTTGTTCATTACATTTTATTTTCATATGAATACTTTACATATACGGGCACTTATCCCACCAAACAAATCATGTATGAAGCTTTTGCCTAGAGATTTTTCTTTTTTCTGGAATTAATTTTTTTCTCTTGTATGAGATATTACATTTGGTTTGTTTTTTATTCATCAAGGTATTACAAGCCAATCATAGTCTTAATAGAATATTGCCATGCAGGTACCTTGGATACAGGTGAGTAGGTCAAGGCCACTGCTGTTAAAGCTGAAGCCCGATGTTTTTCTCATAGCTATTGGACTGGGAACGTATGTATGGCACATGAGTTAGTTTACATTTGTGTGTTATCAAGACATAATTTGGAACCTGTTACCGGTAGTTTTCTATTTGCCAGTTTTTGTTTTGTAACATAAATATATAGTCAAAATTTAACATTTATTCGGTATTTCATTCTAAATACAAAGTTAAAATAAACAGTTTCTATGTCAAGAAGTTGTAGATATTTAGTATTGTATCCCTATGTGACAGGTTCTTTTAGCATTCACATACAACACTTTGTTTTGATTGCCCATATATCTTGATTCTGTTTTTAAGTCCGTATCTCATGGATAGCACCAGATCCATTGAATTGGAAAAAGCATATTTGTCATTAGAAAATTATATTATCGGTATCATGGTTTTACCTTTTAGAAAACATTGATTTAGTACCTAGGGAACAGATCATATATTGGCAACCTTTATTTACTTATGCATTATAGTCTTCTTCTGTTCATTTCAAGTCTTGTTCAACATAGAGATACTTCCTGGCACTCTCTTCGTATGAGCATCATTGTGCATTTAATAGGATTATTCACTATTAACATTTTCTTGGCATTGAGGTAACTAAAACTGTCCTTCATGATACATTGCAGACTTCTTCATCTGTCTTTATTGGTTTTCAATACCATTGCTGTCCGGAGTCTCTCAGTTATCTCTGGTGGTAGAAACTCAATTTTTTCTCGGGAAGAAAATGCCAGTGCACTCGTACTTGTCGCAAGCCAGGTAATAACTCCATCACTTTTTACTTTTTCAGATCTCCCATGCAAAGAGTATCAACTCGGAGGCACTTTCTCACAAGTTAGTATTCAAATAGTTATCATTTTGTTCTGCTCTCCAAACAAGTCTTCATTCCTTTTCAGAAAACATTACCAGTGATGGTAGCAGTGATAGAGCCACTTCAAGGTGCATTTGGAGAATCTGGATTACTTGTTCTTCCTTGTGTTGCAGCACACCTCAACCAGGTCACTTGATATTTTTATTCTTTTTTCTAGTTTCTGATATCCCTTCCTCGTACTGATCTTTAAATCATTGTAGATTATTGTTGACTCTTTTATCGTCAACTTCTTGCGGTCCCGAGACAATTCCAACAATGTCAAGGTGGCTTAACTAGAGGAAATGGTCATCAAGCTGCACCTTCAGAAATATTGAGATAAAAGATGTTTACAAATTTGTTTGGTTTCATTTCCCATTGTACGACTCTCCAAAATATAATGTGTCCCTGTATGATTTTTATATTCTATTAGAAATATTATTTTTATTTCTAGTTAATTTATTATTAATTTTTATTTGTATTTTGAACTGAATCTATATTTTTTCTGTAATAAATAGAGATTCTATATGCATATTTAGCATAAAGAAATTAATTCCATATATACTTTTAATTATATTAAACATATTTTATCATTGTTAATTCCTTAGATAAATAGTTCTGTACAATGTAAATTGTAGTCATTTCATATTCACTTGTTATTAAGGGTTCTTTAACCATAATTAGTTTTCCTTGTCGTCTAAGCAGTTAATTCTACTGTTTTTGTATTAAGGTGATGTCCATATTTTTATTAACTTTCTTAGTGCATGAGAGATGCATAGAAAATTGAATTATGTTTCGTTAATTTAGTTAACAAACTCCAACAAAATTATAGATGATTAAAATTGCAATAATTGTACAACGGAAGTGTAAAGCAGTATTTTTTTCCTCTGTAAAATTTTTCTTTTAATTTGAGGAAGTTAGATTTTTACCTCTTCATTATAGAACGTTTTCGCAAAACCCTTTGACCAAAATCCATCCAATAAACATTGTTTCTTATTAATTTTATTTTTCAAAACATAAATCAAACATAATTTCTTTCAACTTTAAATTTCAAGAAAATTAAAAATTTCCTTCCTCCCCTTTTATCTG